AATTGTAATGCATGCTTAATTTGCATATCTATATAATAAAAGCCTAAGCAATCAGTGTGGCAGAACAATTAGAACAACCAGTCACTATGATGTGCAATGACCACCAGGGGGCAGATGCTCAATGCAGAAAGAGCAACACTCAGCCAGAAGCCAGGCTTACAGCTGGTGAGTGCAGCAGCGGTGGTAGGATCCTCTCCTGCCTTCACTGCAGCACTAAGGAGCAGCGAGCAGGTGAGTGGTAAGGAATGAGAGGGCACAGGTCAGGCTGAGGGACCACCCCCTCCACCCCAAGTGCACAAATTTTGTGCACCGGGCCTCTAGCAATATATAATTCTTGTCCCACAGACCTTGACAGAAGCTTTATCTCACTGATATTACTCAGTGTTTTTTCCTCAGTTGAAAGGAAGAGGAGGATACCAGTTATAGCATCCCAAGAAATAGCAATAGTTTTATATGGACTGTTTGACACTTACAATCACACCCTATGTATAGTAATAGTTTTGTATGGGCTGTGTACTTGAAAATGGCACCAGTCATTCAAATTTCATATGTAGGGAGAAATGTTTGTCAAATGAAATAGGGTTAAATTACTAGGATTAAAGGAAGAAAAATATTTCTAATATTCTGTGAAAGTACAGCTAGTTCATAATATAAAAATTAAAATGAATTTTTGTGTAGAGTTAAAATGGTGCTTAAGTAGTAAATTGGACTCATTTCCATTTAGCAATTCAGGAAAATCTGGTAACACTCTGAGTGATGTGTGCAGCAATTCCTTGAAAATTGTAATCTCTGGAAAAATACCAGTTGAAATGATGTGTCTCCTCAACATAAATTATGTTGACTAAATGGTCAACATAAATTGGCTGTGGACCATAAGGTTCTGAAGCCAGCCAAGCCCGTGTTGATGTGAGAGTGATTATTTGGGGACATTCCATTGAGCTTTGAAGGTTGGAGAGTGATGGTAGCATGAATCTGAATAAAGTTTCTACATCTTGGTATAAACTCTTTTGTTTGTTTCCTTGCTTAGAAAACTTGAATCAATTTATCATAGAAGCATACTGGCTTAGGAATAGCCATCTGGTTCTCCAGACAAAGACTTTGTTCCTTTTAAAAATCATTTAGCCCTGGCCTATGAGTTCACTAGTTAGAGCATCAGCAAGGAAAGGTCTCAGATTCACTTTACAGTCAAAGTTAAGTGCCTGGGTTGCAAGTTCGATCCCTATGTGGGAGGCAACCAATCAATATGTCTCTCTCACACTGATGTTTCTCTCTCTTTGTCCTCCTCTCCCTTTCCTTCCCTTCTATTCTCTAAAAATCAGTGGGGAAAAAATGCCCTTGGGTGAGATTGAACAACAACAAAAATTATTTAAACTCTAAGGGATGTAGTTTCTTCATTTGTAAAACAAGAGCCTCAAATTAGTTGACTTTAACTTCCTTCCAGGTCTGTGATTTTGGACTTTTGAGATTTGTATCAAATTAGAACACTATACTGAAATGATACTTACTAATGATACTTTCTGTATTATTCTAGTACAATAGACTTCTGTATTTTTAAATTTATTTTAGAACTTAATTGCTGACACATTTGTTTTTAAAGGTGACAACAGAATATTTTTAAAGTGACTCTAGGATGCACCTGAATATACTCCCCGCACACCCCCTGCCAAGAGCCTCTTCCACTCTTCCATTTCTCCATGAATCTGTAGGGCAGAAAAGTGCCTCTTGAGCTGCAAGGGATTCCCTTTTGAAATCAGAAGCAGTAGTAAGTCTTTAGTGGAAAGACTTACTGTCGGTTTGGAAATAGTAGGATAAATAGAAGCAAATGCTGAAATAACTCCAGATGAAAGGAGAGGAAGACTCAAAGACACACACACACACACACACACACACACACACACACACACACCACAACTTACAAAATAATAAAAAGGGAAAATTTTACTCTTTCATTTTCCCCAAGATAGACACACATAAGTTTAGCTTTCTGAAAAGGGAGGACTCCAGACAACTTATGACTTCTCAGAGGGAAAGGGGGAAAACTGGTTTCATTGAGTGACACCAGCAAATACAGTAAGCTCCTGGCATCTGCTCTGAGAGTCAGTACTCACTGTACTGTCTTTATTTTGCATATCACTTTGTCTGTGGAAAGGACTCTCAAGACTCAAATGGTAAGCAAGATTCATTCTGCCAAAGAGTCTTTATTGTTTCTCTCCTTCCAGTCTCCTGGGACAGGCTAGAGTAACCAGAGCTATTATTCAAATGGATAAAATTCTCAAATATAATGAAGAGGAAACATTTGAGGATCTTCATATATTTAATGGAAACAGTACGACAAGCACTGCCAAACTCAACAAATGGAAACTCTAACACTGAGTAAATATAGATTACATAGAGAAATAAAGAGAAATAAAGAAAAATTTATAACAGGCATAATTAACATTTCAGATTTGTATAGATATTGCATCCATAAAAGACAAATAGTTGCCTAAAGGAAGGGAAAACCTGATAGAGCTCTTGCAAATCAAAAGTCATAACCCATACAAAACATTTCAATTAATAGGTTAAATAAGGGACATTGCAGAGCTGAAAGCCAACTCATTATACTGTATTGTAAAATGAAGTGTGTAGGTCACACAGACAGCAATACAAAAAAAAGGGTTTATTTCAAAGTGCATTCACTTTCTATTGCTGCAAAAACAAATACCACAAATTTCATAGCTTTAAACAACCCATATTTATTATCATACAGTCCTGGAGGTCAGAATCCCAAAATCAAGGTGTCACCAGGGCTGCATTCCTCCTGGGGACTCTAAATAGATACTTACCCAGCTTCCGGAGGACACCTGCATTCCTTAGCTTTCAGCCCCTTCTTATCTCTGCAAAGCCCTTTGTCTCTGACCTCTCCTTCTTTTGTCACTTCTTTGACTCTGATACTCCTGCCTCCTTCTTTCAAGAACCCTTATGATTACATTAGGCCCACCCAGATAATCCAGGATCATCTTCCATCTCAGGACTCCTAACTTAATAGTACCTGTTAAGTCCCCCTTTCCATGTAAGGCCACATATTTTCACTTTTTGGGTAGTAACTGTGCGGGCCTCTTTGTGGGGAGGTGCTTTATTCCGCATACTACAGAAAATAAGAGAAAAACGTTACAAGGACTAATAAACCTTGAATCCTCATACATGTATTCACGTAAGAGCCATGCTCCAGGAAAGTAAGGAGAGAACAGATGAGAGAAAATGATCAGCTAAATGAGAGGAGAAATTTTTCTAGACCTGAAGAAAGTGGTATGTTTTTAGTTGAAGGGACCATGCAAAATGCATAAAGAGTCTTAACACTGGACACTAGTGAAATGTCAGAAATCCAAGGATGAAGAAAATGTCTAAAAGCCTTCAGGGACGGCAGCTTAAAATCAAATGAGTGAAAATCAGATTGTCATTGGGCTTTTAGTAAGCATTCACTGGGTACAGTAAACAACAAAATAGGGGCTTTAACATTTTTAGACAAAATCATTTTAAATGTACAATTCTATCCCCAGTGAAGTAGCATTCATGAGTGAAAACTAATGATATTTTTGGACATGCCAAGGCTAGAACTTTTTCCAGCCACAGATCCCATTTGGAAGAATTGCTTGAGGCCATATTCTAGTAAAAACAAAAGGAAATAAAAGAAAGAGGAAAACAAGGAATGTTACACCAGTAACACTGGAGAGCAAAGGTACCAGTGAAACTAATAAAGTCTAAATAATTGGTGCATATGTTAAAAAAATGACAATCTGAAATTTAAACTAGAGATGATTCTAATGTCAATGCTGGCAGAGCTGGTATGGTAGGTTAGAAAGAAAGTAAAAGCAAGTGTGTGTGTGTGGTGTTTTCCTGGGCATGAAAAAAATCTTAAGATAGTTTATTTTTGCATTTTATTGATTAAAATTTTAAAAATTAAATTAAAAGGTTGGATTAATATTGTGTTAGTATATTTTGAAACAGATATTCTCATATGCTGTTGGAAAGAGACCTATTTTCTTTAGTTTTTTTTAGAGAGCAATTTGGTAGTTTCAGATTTTAAAGTAAATATATACTTTGGCCTAGCAATTTTATCTTTAAGAATTGATTCTCTAGAAGTATTTTTATAACTGCAGAAATGTTTTTAAGAATATGTACATTGTATTGTTCAAATTGTAAAAATTGTAAAATAATCTAAACTCATATAGACAATTAGAATAATTATGGATAACTATTCCCTGGTTTAAAAAAAATCAAGTCATTTCAAATGTTTGTAGTGCGGGTTTGGTGGTAATAAACTCTTTTTGCCTTTTATTGTCTGCAAAGCTCTTTATTTCAGAGCCTTGCTTTTCATTACTTTGTATACAGTAGGTCCTTGGGTTATGTCAGAGATCCATTCCTAAGGTGTGAGGTAACATGATTTTATTTTCACTGTAAGTTGGAACCCACCTACGTAAGCACCTACATGGAGCACATACACAGTAGGAATGAAGTGAAACAGTAAAAAAAAAAAAAAAAAATTAAGGAAAGATAACAATTTCTGATCTTTACTCGTGGTAAATAAGTAATAAAAAACATAAAGCACATATGTACATATGTTGAAATGACGGAATTTTTTAAATATCCTGTTTCCCCGAAAATAAGACAGTGTCTTATATTAATTTTTGCTCCCAAAGATGCGCTAGATCTTATTTTCGGAGGATGTCTTATTTTCAGGGAAACACGGTTTAAATACTGTAAATGGGAGATGGCGTCATAACCACAAAATGATGTACATTGAGTTCGACGTAACCCGAGGACTGCCTGTACTTCATGTCACTCCCTTCTGTCTTGAAGTGTTTTATTGAGAAACCAGCTGACAGTCTAATGGAAACTCCCTTGTAGGCAACTTTCTATCTCTTGCAGCCTTTAAGATTCTTTTCTTGTCTTCAATGTTTGCCATTTTAATTATGATGTGTCTAGGTGTGGATCTTTTTGGGTTCATCTTGATTGGGACTAAAAATATGGAATAATTCACAAAGTTGTGTGTCATCCTTGTGCAGGGGCCATGCTAATCTTCTCTGTATCATTCCAATTTTAGTATATGTGCTGCAGAAGTGAGCACTTTATTTTTTAAAAATATTTTTAATTGACTTTTTAGAGAGAGGGGGAAGGAAAGGCATAAAAACATCTGTGAAATAAATATCAATTGGCTGCCTCCTCTATGCCCCCTACTGGGGGTCAAACTCACAACCCGAGCATGTGCCCAACCAGAAATAGAACCATTAACCTCTTGGTTCATGAGTTGACCCTCAACCTCTGGGCCACGCCTGTTGGGCCACTCTATGTCTCTTGATTAAAGCATTTAATCCATTCACATTTAAAGTAATTATTGATAGATATGTAGTTATTGCCATTTTAGTATTCATATTTTTGTTATTTTTTTCTTCTTAAAATTGTACCTTTAAAATTTCTTGTAATACTGGTTTAGTGGTATTAAACTTGTTCATGTCTCGAAGCTCTTTATCTTTCCCTTATTTCTAAATGATAACCTCACTGCTGGGTAGAGTAATCTTGGTTTTAGGTCCTTGATTTTCATCACTAGAATATTAAATGCCAAATGCTTATGGCCTGCAAAGTTTCTCTAGAGAATTCAGTTGACAGCTTTATAGTGGTTCTCTTTTAGGTAACTGATTTTTTCTTGCTGTATTTAAGATTTTTATTTTTGTTTTTAACATCTAGCATTTTAATTATAATTTGTCTTGGTATGAAACTCTTTGAATTCATCTTGTTTGGGACTCTCTGTGCTTCCTAGACTTGTATGTCTTTTTCTTCCACCAGGTTAGGAAGGTTTTAGTCACCTGAGTCGAGTGCTTCAGATGTGTCCTTTGTGTGGGCTGTGTGCATCCTCCTGTTATAGTTGAAGCCCAAGAGCAATTGGCAGGCCAGTGGAAGGAATTGATTCTCTGGCTGACTGACTATGAGGAATGGCTGTGACTACAGGGGAGGAGCTATTACACAGGGGCTAATCTCACAGAGCAGGATTCACATAGAAGGTCTCTGGTGCCTACTGAGTTTCCCTTCTGGTTGTGTCTTTGTAGAGGTGGTTGGGTGGTGTCTGGCATAGTCTGAAGCTGGCCACTGGGTGTGTTGATTGTGGGGCCTCTTGGAAGGGGCTATGGGGCAGGTGAAGGTCAAATGCTGCCTGTTGTTGGCCTCGGGCTACAAAGTGGGATCTGCAGGAGGTTGTCACTTGTGCTGTGCTTGGAAGCACCTGGAAGAGGCTCAGCTGGGAATTGAGGCCAGCTGCCACTAGTGGCAGACTTGGGGCCACTTAGCAAGAAGCATGGGGCATTCTGAGGCCAGATGCTTCTTGTCTGTGGTTTGTGAACCTGTGAGAGATTTTAGGAAAGTCTGCAGCATTAACCCAGACAGACCATTTATATGGAAAAGTCCCTGGAAGTAGTTTGGGTGGGTGTGTAAGTTGGTGGGGCAGGATCAATGAGTCACCAGGATGAGGCTTTTTCCAGGTTAATGGACATTCAGGCTTGAGGCCTGCTTGTGCCTACAGAGACAGTGGAGGGGGAATGCTCAGTAACGGAACAATATCTGCCAGTACTTCTGTCTAAGAGAAAGCTGATGCTAGTGTTGGGTCTGGGGCCTCTTATTGAGTGATATGGGGCACCCTGATGCCAGCTACTGCTTGTGTCAGAGATTTTAGAAATACATGAAGCCTGAGTCAGGACATGCCATTCATATGGAAAAGCCACTGCAAACAACTTGGGTGAGGCTGAAAATGGGTGAGGTGGGGTCTCAGGATTCACCAGCTTGGAGTGAACAGTGTGAACCAGGTTGGAGACTTATATATGGTGCCTGTCATCAGCTCTGTGATAGGGGAGGCCTCAGAATAGGAACAATGACCCATTCATGCATCCATGTCTGGTAGAAAGTTGCCCTTGAGTTCTTGCTCTAATACCAGACAACCTAGTTCCTCCCCACATGGCCCTGGATCCTTCCAGGCCCCAGCCCCAGCACTGGAGCTCAGAGGGACCGAGTCTGAGTAAGTCCGTGGGCCAGCCCTCTAAGAGGAAGTTCCTGGGTCTCCAGGAGCCTCTGTGTCCCTCAGCCACAATCTCCACAAAACACCTGAGGATATTTTTTCCAATACTTTTCAGATAGTGGAAAAGAGGGGGAGAAGGAAAGGGGAGAGAGAGAAAGAGAGAGACATACACTTAACAACTGGTTGTCTACCACCCACAACCCTTCCAGGGATGGGGAGAAAACCCACAAACCAAGTACATGCCCTTGCCCAGAAATCTAACCCACAGCCCTTTGGTCTGTGAGCAGACACTCTAACCGCTGAACAAAACTGGTTAGGGCGTTCAAAACAATTCTTAAAATGCATTTATTATGCTCCCTGCTCATAACTGGTCAATTAAATTTTTATTCTAAAAATAACTTAGAACAAAAAAATTATTTATAGATATTCAGAAAAGGAACTCAAGCATTCTCTCCAAGGTTCTATGATCTGACCAAACATGGTTAGAAAAAAAAGCTATTTCCTACTTTGGTTTCTGTTTTTTTTAATGACCAGAGGAAATCCTTTGTTGCATTCATCTTGGTTTCAACAGAATACTCATCAATATCCTTTTCTTCCTTTGAATCTTGATCTGGCATCCAACATTGGTCTTTTACATTAAAAAATGAATATTTCAAAGCTTCACAGTTTCCTTCCTTCAGATATTGCAGAGGGGATTTTCCTTCCTGGAGCACACAATGGAACTGCAGCAGACAGGTGCCCCGATACTCCTTCACACCCCCACACGTATTGCCCTCTGACTTGTCTTCATAATATTATACTGAGACATGGTTGAGCCTCCTGCCTTCCATGGCCTGCACTGCTTCTGGCCTCAATGGCACCAACCCTACTGCCTGTTACGTATTTTAGTTGTAATTTTAATGTGCTTGTGGGAGGCAAGTATCACATTTACCAATGGCACCATCTTGGTTCTTTTCTGTTTCTGGATCTTTTTAAGCTGCTGCCCCAGTGTTAGAGCAACCAGTCACTATGACACACACTGACCATAAAGAGGCAGATGCTCAATGCAGGAGCTTCCCCCTGGTGGTCAGGGTGCTCCAAGGGGAGCGCTGCTCAGCCGGAAGCTGGGCTAATGGCAGCAGTGGTGGCAGGAGCCTCTCCCACCTCCATGGCAGTGCTAAGGAGCAGCGAGCTCAGGGCTAAGGAGCAGTGAGCAGGTGGGCGGTAAAGAGCTAGTGGGTCCCAGACTGGGAGAGGGATGTCCACGGGGAACGGGCCTAAGCCGGCAGGCGGACATCCCCTGAGGAGTCCCAGACTGTGAGAGGGAACAGACTGGGCTGAGGGGACTGCTCCCATGCACAAAATTTGTGCACCGAGCCTCTAGTTCTTTAATACGTTGCTTAATTCTATGTTCTTGGTATGAGGAATAATTTTTTATTGAAACCTGGTCATTTTTTATTATGGTTTGTATACTATATCTTATTTTAACTCATTGTTTGGGATATTATTCCAAGGGAAGGGTGGCTTCATCTCATTACAACTTCATGCCAGGTGGAGAGAGAGGCTCAGATTCCCCACTTGGCCTCTGTTGATATCCAACAGTAGAGGTATTTTTTCTTACTGCTCAGCAAGTTGGGACTTCTGGCTCTACCATGCTCTCTACAGACACCTAGGTTAAATTAGAGGTAGGCTTTCCACATGGTAGCTACTGTCATCACAGTGAATGGCCTTCATTACCAGCCAGCAAGGATGAAAGTACCAGCTCTTTACTTGGCTTTCTCTTATACTTGGAGGTGTGTTGTAGTGCTTCATTACATCCTGATGAAGCTAGCAGTCTAGAATTCTCATTCAGCCTTTTCTGGCCTGAGTGGGAGTGGGGTCAGAGGTTTTCTGTGGTGTCTGGCTGGAGGATAGTAGTTATTGTCTAAAAGTTTTGCTCTTGTTTGGCTGACTCTCTCCTAGGTTTTTGGCTACACAGAAGAGGTGTTTGTTGCAGCAGTTGATATTGTTGGGTAGCTAGCTTCTGCTCCAAATATGAGGTGATGGAAAAAGAAAATGCAGAGAGCTCACCACTCTGTTATTTCTTGGGACCTGATATGATCACCTGCCTTCTTCTCTCCACCTTTCAAATTGTTCTTACAGTTTTATTTATAATGTGCGGGGTTTTTAGTTGTACTTAGTAGTAGGAATAAGGAAAACCATGTATACTCCATCATTCCAGGAGCAAAAATTCCATAATAAATCTGGATAAAGAAAAATTTATTTGAAACCCATTCTGACACTCAGTAATACATTGTGAAGATACTTCTATTAACATGAATACTAATTGATATAATCATTTCAGTGGATAAATATTATTCTAGGATGTAAGTATTACCATAGTTTTCTATGAACTAATCTTTTATTAATATATACATATTAACGTGACATAATAGCAATGCTGTGATGAACATAACATATCTTAATTTAGAGGCCATATTTTTTTTGTCTAAACTTCTGAAATACAAAAAGTTATGAAAACAAAAATATTTCGATATATTTAGTGCAAATTAATTTTTTTGGCAAAATCTGATTAGAATCCAGAGGCTATTTATAACCTTAATTTATCTAGCTTGATTTCAACACTTCATGTTTGCTACAGAAATATTGAAATATGGATTACGGTTTGCTGCCCAGACTCTGCTGGGGGTTGTTATGAAACATGTGGTCTATGTATCTTTCTAAGATCCAAATGTTTTAAATTCCAGCACAACTGTTTCCAGTCTTCTTAAGATAATGTCCCAAGAGAATGATTATTAAATTTGGTTCATACTGTTCAATTTTCACTCCTAAAATATTATACTTGTGTTCTTAACAGAACATAAGAATACCCATCATTTTTTGACAACATTAGATATTGTCATACAATAGCTTACCCTTACATTTATTTTTTGTTCGATTATAAATAGACTCTATAAATGTACATTTCAGAAAAAAATCTAGAAAATACAGAACAGTACAAAGAAGAAAGTTAAAAAAACATTTATAACATCTCTTTTCAAAGGTAATAACTTTTAATATTTTGACTTATTTTCCCATGTCTTTAA